TGAACAGTAAAGAAAATAATTTGTCTTCTTTTATACCTGCTTCTTATAATGTGTCAAAAACATTATAAATAATTGCTAGAGCTCAAAAAAAAAAAAAGAATTTAGCTCATGGAAGATGATGCTCCTGAGAGGAGGGACATCAAAGGTAATAAGAACAATGCATAGAGCTTTCACTTTTGGATGTTAAATTAATCAATAGTTCACATTTACATAGCTCTCTAAGGTTTACAAAACGTGTAACACACATTTTGTCATTTGATTCTTATGCCAAGCCTCAAATAGGTGCTATTATCATTCTCATTTTACAGATGAGGAAACTGAGGTTCAGAGATCATGCAGTTTGCTCAGGAGGACACAGTTGAGGAGGAATTAGAGCTCTGATTTTCTTGACTCCAAGATCAGCACTTTATCCCTATACTATTCTGCCTTATATTCAAATTTGTATAAATTTCCAGATTATTATATAATTATAGTTCAATGTCATTAAAACAGATATGCATAAATGAAATACAGAATCAGATCTTAGAACATGTCTTTACATAAGTATAGCTGAGCAGTATCTTTTTCTAATAGGTAGGGGAAGGACCAGTGATCAAGAGAAAAAGATTGGTGAAAAAACAAGTGGCTTGAAAAAGTTATACAATTCTTACAAAAAACAGACTTCCTTTTTCCTTTGTTCCTGTCTTTCTATGAAGTAACAGCAAACTACAATTCTAGTTCAGTGTGACTGCTGGATAGTCGTTTAAAAAAAATTTTTTTTAGTGCTTATTTAAAAAAATTCTGAGTTCCCTATTCTCTCCTTCCCTCCTGCTTCTCCTTCATCCATTGAGATGGCAAGCAATATGATATCAATTATACATGTGAAATCATGCAAAACATATTTACTGGGTAGTCATAAAGAGGAGGCAGCACATATACAGGAAAAATCGAGAAGTAGGAGTAAGAGGGGCTATGGTTTCTAGTTACCTCTGCCATATGAATGAATGGAGGGACACTAATAGCCAGCCTGTGTCTACTTCTAGTGCGGGTTCTTCAGCTAAAGTGAAATTTTACACGTGAAATGTTTATGTATGTGATTCTTTCACCTAAGAAACATTTTGTGTTATTTGCTAACTGCCTCCATATTAACTTTAAGCCTTTTTTTTTTTTTGTAATTTAAAAATAGCTGCACAGGTCTACTGAAGGCAAACGAGGTTGTCATTACCTGTGAGCACAAAGTTGATTTTAAAACATGTGCTACCCTTTGACCCAGAGCTTCCATTCCTAGGCTTATACCACAGGGAGGGCATTAAAAAAAAATGTCCCTACATATACCAAAATATTAGAGCAGCATTTTTTGTGGTTGCAAAGATTAGAAACAAAGTAGATGCCCGTTGATTGGGAAATGGACAAACAAAGTGGAGTATATAAGTGTAATGAAATATTACTATGCTGTAAGAAATTATGTATGTGATGAATACAGAGAATCATGGAAAGATCTCCATGAACTGATGCAGAGCAAAGTAAGCAGAGCCAAGAAAATAATATACACGACTACAGCAATATAAGTGGAAAAAATGAGCCATACGCACACAAAATAAAAATGAAGAGGGGATGTTATAAAACGATAAAGAACAAATAAGTCTCAAAAGAGGTGATATGAGAAGATATGAGAATTCCATCCCTTGGAAGTGGTGGAGGGCCCACAGATATCACACACTGTCCATATTTGAGACTTTTTTTGATGCATTCTTAGTTAAGCTGATTTCCCCCCTCTTATTTCTCTCTTTTGCTTTGTCTTTAAAATATCAGTTTTTATTGGGGATAGCTCTCTCTGGGAGGAGGAGGGGAAGAAATACTAGAGGAAATTATAGGGATGTAAAAAAGCAAAAGACCAATAAAAATGTATTTTAAAATGCTAAAAACAAAACTAGATCCTAGGCAGTTAAAGAAGTCAACAAACATTTATTAAGTTCCTGCTGTGTCCCAGACACTGTGTTGGGAGTTGGGGTTGGGCAAAGAAAGGCAAAAAAAGAGTCTCTGCTATCAAATAATTTACTATCTAATGGGAAACAAACCAAGAGTCTTCTTCCTCCAATTAACAAACTCTATACTAAGCCATATAGAGGACATTTGAGCTTGTGACCAATCCTCAGGGATTTATTTGACAAAGGAAAAGATACTGAAATTTTTTTTTAGCACATTATTGATGTGAAGTTAAAACTGCAAAATACCACTATCAGAATTAAACCCAACTGCTTTTTCAACCCAGTTGTTTTCCACCAGTCTCTTCCCCTTCATCACTGGTTCTTCCCCTACCTGTAAAAAATAAAATGCTTCTAAGCTATACTTGTAGAAAGATACTATGAAATATGTTCTAAGCCTGGAGAGCATATTTTATTTGTGCGTGTTTTGAATGACAATGTACTATATAAACTTTGAAAATGTATGTAAAGCCTCCCATAAAAATAACACTAATTTGTCACAGTTTTTGAAGGTTCTCCTTGAAAAAAAATCAGTTCCCAATGAACATTTCTCATATCATTTAGTGCCCAGAGGAACAGAAGCATGTATGCAGGATCATAGATTTGGAAGGGACCTTAAATAACATCATCTAGTACAGCCCCCCATTTACAGTTGAGGAAATTGAGTTGTAAGTGATTTACCCAAGGTTATACAAAAGTGGTACAGCACAGGTCCTCTGACTCCGGACCAAGGAGTCCTTTCGTCTATTAGGCTGCCTCAACTATTATTTCATCTCAGCAAGGTTTTCCTTGCTTGCATTATATTCAAGCTGTAAAGTTACCAAGTTTGGTAATTCAGACCAAAATCACCGATTTATGTGATTTTTTTTAAGTACTCAAAAATTGTGGACCTGAATGCTTAAATATATTCTTTACAGATTGGAACAGGTTAAAAAAGGAAAAGAAATAGTCATCTGGTCAGGAATCATTGCCAGAATTTAAACATTTGTTATTGCAGTGCTGAGCCAGGGAAATGTTTTAAAAGGAGACACTGGTAAGAGGTTATTTGAGCACAATGAAATTTTGACATATTCTAAAGTTTGATGGGTTGGATGTCTAAGGAGGGGGACAGAGTATGGACTAGTTCCATAGTGTTAAAATTTCAAAGACAAACAATGGGCTGCCAATGATTGTCTGAAACAAACAAGGCTTTGTAATGGGAAATCTGAAAAACTGCATTTTAATTTTAGATATTATGAGCTAAAGATGTCCTCTAAAATTAGTTATTATTAATTATTTCAAAAACCTAAGCTGGAAATGACTTCTTCCTTTAGACAACTTAGTGTATCTACTAATTATAGAACACAATTCAGGTCAAAAGAAAGTGTCCAATCCAAAAGGAAGTTTTTTTTTGTGTGTGTACAAATATACAGCATTAGGGAGAAGGCATATGGAGGAAACATGGAAAAATAACAAAAAGGCCCCTCTACCGGTATATATTCTCTGGATTTTATTAATTTACTCTTCTTACTTAAGCTCTTCTATTTTATTACAGCAAAGAGTTTGTTCAATTATTCTTTCCTGAAAGCCTGTTCCTCTGTCCTGCTGAGTAGTGGTTCCAGCAATTACTGCTCACTAAAAAAAGGCTCCAAGGTAGAATTGTTTGGAAGTTGGTCCCTGTCCCCTCCCCCACTCCATGCCATCTAGTCTCGGATTTCCAGAAAATGCTGTATGTACCAACATCCTTTCAAAGCTCCACTTTTTTTTTCTGCCTTCATAAAAGTAGTGCAATAACAGAAACAAAAACCGCCAACTACTTTTCTGACAGCTCTCGGAGGGGCTTGAGTTAATTAGTCAAATACAGTTATCATCTGAAGGGCCACTCTTGAATTTATAGAATCAAACTGCAGCGTGATAAGGCTAGAAGTGATTTAACTACAGTGGTGGTGGGGTGGTGTGAGTTGTTGAGGTTGGCAGTTTTCCAGACTTCTTCAGTTTAGCCTATCAACATGCTTGTTACTAACCAGAGAACCATAAAAAGGTGGGCTAAGGAAGGTGGCGGGGAAAGAGAGATAGGGAAAGGAGGGAAGATTATCATTACTTAAACTTTCAGTTGGGCGCACCTACTTCACCTACAAGGGAAGAGTAGAAAAAGCAAAGTGTCTTTCTCATTTGTTATAGTTTTTATTGGGGGCCAAAGAAAACTCGAGCTTTGACACTTAGAGACACAACTGCTCCTCAGGGCCAAAAAGGCAAGCCCTTGGCTCTGTGCCACGAGGCGGGTAGCGACTTGAGCCAGGTGCCACAGTCACTGATTTTGGGTATCTGGCTGTGGATAACATAAAGACTGAATTCCTTTTCCTCTGCCTCCCTTCCCCTATTCCCCAATACAAAGTCCCCCCAAACTTGCCGAATACTTGGGGGAAGGGAGGGCGAAGGCGCTCAAATAAGCAAACACAAACTCTGGGATCTTCGTGAACTCTTACTTTTACAAATACTTGTATTTGCGCAGCCGAAAGGGCTGAGAGGAAGCGTCCACGCAGCAACTAGGGACCCAGTCCTGGCAAGCTAAAAGGGATGGGGGGAATGGGTCCTCTGTATGATCCTTTCCTCTAGACAAACTGCTGCACAACTTGCTTCCTCTAGTTTTCCTCCAGAAACCAGTGATACAATTACGTATTTTAGATGGATTTATTTTTCTGATCCAAGCTGGAATCAGGTCGCCTGAAGCTTTTCACCAGCCCGACCTGAAAAGAACGTTTTGGCTAATCCTCTCTTTGTCGGTGGTTAGTAAGAAAATAGGCTGGAGGAATCCTATCTGCACCCCAATGTACATCTCACCATTGGTGGGTATGGAGGGCCGCACGCATACTGGCTGGAGTCTTTTATTACGCAATTTGTCTAAATACGGTCCAGTAATACGGAGGCACTGGCCGCATTCGCCTAGAACTCAGCGAAACGAACTGTTTGTTAGGTCTCTTCCGAGCAGTTAGATTGGTTTTGGCCACCAGCCGGAGTTGGAATCTCGGACAAAAAAAAAAAAAAATTCAGCCTTACCTTGAACAGTTTTCTACGGTTCTCCTCCACCGAACGATCTAAACAAACAGTCCAGAAAAAAGATCGTGTAAGTTTCACCTCCAGTCAGAAAAGCACTTCTGCTGAGCGGATCATCACCCTCATCCCTTTCACACTGCTTTTTAGACTAGAGCAACAGTATTCCCGAGGCTATTACGTTAAGGCTGAGCCCTAAAAGCCCCTTCCCTTGGTCAGCAAACGGGGGTATCCCTGCTCCCTCCACATTGCATCATCTTTTCCAAGATGGGTAGAATAAATAAGTTTGAGAAATAAACCGGATCTTATTCGCATTTCAACCAGTCTTATCAGACAATGACCTAGTTGAGCGGAATTGTAACTCCAAACAAACCTTACAGGTAAATAACTTTCACTTTCCTCCTTCTAGCACAAATTTTAAAATACAGATTATAATTAATACTAATTTTTACAAGCGAGATGAACTGTCAACATTTACACTGTTTGCAGATTGAGCAAGAGTTGAAATCCTCCAACTAATATTTCATGTTAACTTTAACTCTGAGCATAATTGCCTTTCCCTAAAACGTCAACTACACCCCCGAATTTTTAATCACTGTGATATGTAATCATGAATGCAGGATAGAAAAGACCCTGAAAAAAGAAGGGAGCTCTTCATTAGAACACCCACTCCCATTCCCCAGTCACCCTTACTTCGTTTCAAATAGATCCCCCCTCCCCACCTACTCAAGTCTGACAAAATGCAGCCAGACGTCAAGCAGGAAATCAGACTCTTCCAAGTTGCTCCTTTTCAAATCGCAGAGATGTGTAAACCTAAATGACAAAACACCTCCATTCAATGCAAACTAGGCTTTCAGAGGAGAAACTCCAGTTTGGCTACTCTCTGTCTCGGATTACACAAATATACCTGGAGGCAAGTTGGAAAGAAACTGGGGGCTAAAACTTGGGTGTGTGTGTGTGTGTGTGTGTGTATGTGTGTGTGTGTGTGTGTGTGTGTGTGTGTCTTACATCTATTATCTATTTAGTTTAAACCTGCTCTCTATTGTTATCGGTTTTTTGTTTTTATGGGCTGGGATGGTGGTATGTTGGAAGTGTGTAATAGATATTAAAAGGAAAAGAATGGTTTTGGAAGAGCAAAGTCCTATCAAATTATGTTTGCTTCGTTAAAACCGAGGGTTTTGTTTCTTAAACAGAATTAAATATAAATCACGGTTCCAGCTTCTGCTAGGAAATTGGAATTGGTCCGGGTGGGGTGGGAGAAGATCAAGTGTCACTTAAAATACAATTCACACTATTGTACTAAGGCTTCAAAGGGAAAGAACAGAAGTTTTCATCTGCTGGACGTCCAAGAGAGGACAAATCCAGTTACTGGAAGGAAGCTCCAGAGAGCCCTCAGGGGCCACTCACTCACCTGCAGTCTCCGCTGCCAGTTAAGGAAAGGAGGCAGCAGCCTCACCTGGACCACTTCGCCAACGCGTCAGCTGCATCTCCTAGGTCGAGGAAGAGACGACTAGCTGCTTCTCTCTTTCCCCTCCCTCCTTCCTCTCACTTTTTACACGAACATAGGAGGGTAGGGATCCGATTGCTGGCTTCCTCCCCCCCCCCCCAACCCCCAATCCGAATGGGCACGGAGTAAAGCCCACCAAATAAATGACAATTGGAATACCCACCCGCCACACACACCTGCACCCACCTATCCACGCCCAAATCTCCCTTCCTCGGGTCTGACGGAAAGGAAGGGGTGCAGCAGCTATGCCTAGTTAAATGGACTCTAAGTAAAGCACTTTCTTCTCCCCGGGGCAGGGGTGGTGGCTCACTGAGTGAAAGTGAATGTATGGAAAGCAGTTCACAGCTAGGTCAATGTAGGTGTTTAGGACCTTTTGGAGAGGTGAGAGAGGGAGAGGGAGAAGCTGGGTCCTGCGAAGCAGAAGATGCACGCAGGTACAGCGGCAGTCCAGCCAGGCATACAACTTTGCTAGCACTCTAACCTCCAGCCAGACAGTTTGGTGGACAGAAAATCGTTTCCCACCCTCCAAGAGGCTCAAATGCCTCATCCCCCCCTCCCCCCATCTGATTGGGCAGCTGGGCCTTATCACGTGATTCAGGATTACCTTCCCTTCTTCCTCCTTCCCCATCCATTCGCTTGCCCACTCCCCTCTTGCCTTCTGCAGCCTTCCTACCCCCACCCCATAAATTCACTTTCACTTTTAACTCCCTGGGAGTAGAGAAATGGAACCCAGAGGGGTTATGGAGAGATTCTAAATGAATTTGAAGGAAGCCTTGCCTCTCACCCTATTCCAAATCAAACATGGAACTTGCTGGGGGAGGGCAAGGGGCAAGGGAGGGAGAAAAAGGGGTTACTGAGGCAATAGTGGTAGAGGCATTACATGAGGTCGTAAATTTCCAAGGAAAGGGAAGTGAAAGAACCGGGTGATCCCCGACCACAGACTGGTACTCCATTCTGCCTCACTGAAACAACGGACTCTGCAGCAGAACAACCCATGCCCAATAATGTCGGGTGAGCCCTAGGTGTCGGTGGAAAATTGAAGCAAGCGACGGGGGAAGGGCATTACTACTGGGATTGTAGATGGGGAACTGGAAGGGACCTTGGGAGATTGAGAATCCAAATTTCTCATTCTACAGATTAGGAAACTGAGGCACAGAGAGTTTTTTTAATTTGGCCAGGGTCACGCACTGTGACCCTGTGACCACACTATGTCTAAAGTGGGATTTGAATTCAGGCTTCCTGACTTTAAGTCTCGAGCTCTATCGACGACACTAATGTATTTATATAGCTATTCCAGTGTTTGCAGAGCATAACCTATATATTATTTTGTTTGATCCTCCCAAAGTCCCTATTTTTTACAGGCGAGGAACTTGAGGTGCAGAGAAATTAAGTGATTTTTCTAGAGTCACACAGCTCATAAGTGAATCAGCATTGGGAAAGCTGTTCAGATCTTCTGATTCTAGGTCAGGCACTCTTGTCTATTCCACCGTAATCAAATTATTAGGTGCTGCGCTGGATAGAGTTCAGCCTGGAGACTGGAAGACTCAAATCCAGATTCAGACACTTACTAGCTGTATGACCTTGGGCAAGTCACTTAACCCCTGTTTACCTCAGTTTCCTTATCTGTTAAATGGGGATGATAATAGCACCTAGCTCCCCAGGTTGTTGTGAGGCTCAAATGAGATAATAATTATAAAGCTACATAAATATTAGCTCTTGCTACTGGAAAGGGCGTGTCAATAGATTCCCCTATGGCTCTGCTTACTGTCTCAAACCACAATACCCCTCCTGGGTCACCTAACCTTTATGTATTCAGTCTTCCTCTATTAGAATGAAAGGATCTTAAGGGTAGGGCTGTTTTCACTTTTAAATTTGTATGGCCAGTGTTTAGAACAGTGCTTGAACATAGTAAGCTCTTTTTTTTTTAAGAATTTTTATCAACATTTTTTGTTTTTACAACACCTAGACTTCCCCTTGTATCCCTTCTTCTTCCACTCCCAGATAGCCGTCTCTTAAAAGAAATAATTATTTTTAAAAAGAAAAAAAGAAAGAGAAAATATCAGAAAAACCTATCAATATCTCTGAAAAAAATTGACAATTCATACAAAGTTTCATACCTAGAGACACCCTGTCTCTACAAAGGAGTGGGTTGAGGTGTTTTCTTGTATCTCTTCTTTAGGGTCAGATATATTCTTTACAATTTTGCAACATTTATCTTTGGTTTTTAGTTATTATTCCTTCCATAACATGGTAATCGTGTATATTGTTTCTTTGGTGCTGCTTCCTTCACTTTGCATCCATGTATGTAAGTCTTTCCATACTTCTTTATTTATCAGGTTCATCATTTCACCCAGCATTCCATTCCATTCCATTTATTTGTTTAGACGTCCGTCATTCAATGGGCATTGGCTTTGTTTCCAGCTATCACAAAAAGTGCTACTATAAAATATTTTGGTGTATTTGGGGACTTTTAGTCAATGGCCTCCTTGGGGTGTACGCCTCACTGCGGAGCCTTTAAGGAAAAGGATATGGAGATATTATCCATTTTATTTGCATAATTCCAAATTCCTTTCCAGAATGGTTATACATAGTAAGCACTTAATAAATGCTTTTTTCCCCCATTCATTTTCATTCATTTATTCACCATTCTGTCTCTGGATTGTAATGAATTTGTAGATAGCATCTTCTCAATAAACTGGTATAAAGTGAGAGTCTTCTTTGTGGAGTATTAGATTTGCATGAGTATAGCCCCCTTCCTCTCTCCCCAAACCAGCAATTCATTGGCCTTGCAAGAAAGAAAAAAAAAGTCATGGTAAGCAGAGTATTTTGACTCTTCAAAGGTGATATAGTGGGGGTAACCTTATCTAATTATCAAATTACCAACCCCTTTATAGTTTAGGACACAAGCATAGCTTAATTTATGGTCCGTGTATTGATACTGTTTTCCAAATGCCCTGAAACTTTATCATAATTGAGGAATACAATATTTCTGTGGTCCAAATACTTTTAGTTTACTTGAAAATACTGACTTGTGCTGAAACTCTACTTCAACACCACATTTCAAAGCAAACTGCGTCTTGAGAAGCAAAAGGAATAATGACCATGGCCCTGGGGCATGATATGTTGTGTATTCCTCCAATAATTTGAAATACCAAATATAGGTCCCCTTTCACCCTTTGCTCGCTATTTAATACTGAAATTTGATTAGTAAGAAAAGGAAGCTGATAAAACAATTTGCTTCAATAGTGTCTTGTGATAGCAAGTTCAACTAACTAATTATATGTTATTTTAAAAGTATTTCCTTGCATTTGTTTTGAATATACAGTATTGCCTTTGAATGTCTTTAAATACCCCCTTGTAATTTTACCAAATGAAAGGGTAGATAAGTTTACCTCATTGATGTTCTCTATGGTACTGGACCTGTGATTTCATTTTTATAGAGTGAGCAAACTCTGTCAACCAATGCAGGTCTGCACCTTCTCTGCAACTTAAACTCTTAGAGTTAAATTCTTTCTTCCTATGCCACTGGTTATTTCACAACTAAACACTGTAAGGTGTGTGTGTGTGTTGATTTGGCAGAGGAGCTTACTTTTTCTGGTCAATTAACTGAAAAATCATTTGCCAAGAAGTGAGCATTATAACAAAAAGAAAAATCAATAGAATAAATTGGAGAAGGAAAAAATTATTTCCTAGTAGAAAAATTCCAATTTATTTTTGATTCTTTCAGAAAACTTATAGTTCTAATATATACTGTTCATCTTCTTCCTCCTCAAATGTAGTTACCCTTATCTCTACTTTTTTGAAATTTGGGGGATTTAAGATACTAGTCGCATATCCTGCCTTTTAAGATTAATATCTGAAACACTCAAAAATAAAGTGATCAAATTCTCCTGTTTTTTTTCCTCCCTCTTAAACGTTGATTGTGGGTTCTAAGTAATTAGTTAGGGGAGGTAGGTGGTGAAATGGATAGAGTTTGAGGCCTAGAGACAGGAAGACTCCGCTAGCTAAAATCTGATCATCTCAGATACTTACTAGCTGTGTGACCCTGGGCAAGTCACTTAACCCTGTTTGCTTCAGTTCCTCATATGTAAAATGAGCTGGAGAAGGAAATGGCAAACCACTCCAGTGTCTTTGCAAGAAAACCCCAAATGAGGTCATGAAGAGTCAGACACAACTGAACAACAAAAAGTAATTAGCTACCAAGCCTTCCTTTGAGGGAGGGTAAAAAAACATTACAGACACCTAAAGCACTCAAACTACAATGAGGTAGGAAGTGTAGGTAAAATTGAGGTTCAGAGACAGAAGTGATTTTCCTTAATGTTGCATAGTAATAGGAAAGCCAGTACTTGGATGCAAATCCCTGGATTTAAAGCCCTCCAGCATGAGACATACTTACAAATTCTTTATGGAATCCCTTAGGAAAACTAAACAAGGCAGGTAACCAAAAGGCCATTGAAAAGCAAAAGATATATAACTGAAGACAATTTGCAAATCATCTATGGCCACAGTGAAAATGCCTTGAGATGCATAAGTCACAATTAGAGACTTCCATAAATTCTTAGGCACTATCTGAAATCTGAAGAATGATTTCATGGTGTTGAATTGTCCTGTTCAGTTCCTACATCTCCAGGGCTGTTTTATAACATTTCCCTCCAAATTGTATGACTGAATATATATAAAATCTAAAGCAAGAATAGCATTTGGGGTGTTTTGAAGCTTATATTTTCTTAAGACTCAAGCTGCAACATGTATAACTTAATATGAAATTGCTTGTCTTATCAATAGAAGGGGGAGTGGGGAGAGAGAATTTGGAACTCAAAGTTTTAAATAAGAACGTTAAAAATTGTTTTCACACGTAACGGGGAAAAAATAAACTACTGAATTAAAAAAAAGAATTGAGCTGCAAATGAATTGTGACTAATAATAAAAATAATAAAAGTGATAGATATTTGTAGAGGCTTTGAGATATAACAAGTACTTTACTCACATGA